CCCCCCCCCCCCCCCCCCCCCCCCGCCAGCACCCGAGCACGCCGATGTGCTGCCGCCCGTCGGCGGCCGAGGCAACCCTGGCCCAGTCCCGGTGGCGTCTGCGCCTCACCTTGCTGCTGACAGATCACAACACTGGATACCACAGGGCGCCTGCCCCTGGCCTGCAAGCTGCCGCTGTGCAGCGGTTGCACAGCACAAACTGCAGCCGCCATGATCAGCGTAGGTGGAGCCCCAATTGGCGCAATGCCTGCGTCTCGGGAGCCTTAGTTTTGCTCTGGTTTCGCACCTCCGCTTCACTCCAGCGTGGCATTCGCAGAAGGCTCACAGAAAACGCTCGTATCCTCTGAAATTTACATCAACCAATACGTTTGATCAAATTAGATGCTGGCGGGGGCAAACCGCTGGCCCGGCAGCAGGACTCTCCCCGCCCACACCACCAGCAGAGCTTCAGCAAAAGCTATGGCGATCCAGAACACGGCCAGCGCAGCCCTGGCTGTCCCGCACCAAGAGCAGCAACCCCTGGAAGGGCAGGCAGACAGCCAGCAGCGCCAACAGACGCCGACAGCGGCGGCGGCAGTGCCCGAGCCGCCGCTGCCGTCCCTGCCGCAATCCAGGCAGCCTGGTGTGACTGTGCGCCGCTACTGTGCAGAGCGGGATCACGTCGACGTGGCGCACATCTGCCGAAACGTCTGTGAGTATAGCCAAAGCCCCTGGCGGGCTGCCAATGCGCGGCCGAATCCTTGCAGTCATCCGCTCAACCCTCTCCTCCATATTCTGCCCAGGGCAAGCATGTCCCTCTGTGCCCTCTGCCTTCCCGCATGCCTGCAGACGGTGGCACCGACGAGCTGCCCGCCACCATCAACGCCGCCGCGGCAGAGCCGGGCACCCACATCCTGGTGGCATGTTCCGGCGGCCAGGGGGCTCCCCTGGATGCACTCCTGTGCTGCCAGCAGCGCGGCGATGTGCTGTGGCTGTGGGGCGCGCGCACGCGGGAGGAGCGGCGGGGAGCCGGCCTGGCGCAGCTGCTGCTGGTGGGTGGCTGCTGGGGGCGAGGTGCGGCCGCGGTGTCTACTGCCATCCAGCAATACCCTCAGGACATTGAGATGCATATGCTCGTGTGCTGCTCACTGACCCCAGCCCCTCCCTGCGCCGGTTGCCTGCAGGAGGAGGCCGAGGCACTGGCACGCAGCCTGCCCGGGGTGGCGTCCCTGCTGTCGGTGACAGTCCCCGCCAACGACACCATGCTCAGGCTGTTTGCACGCTGCGGCTTCAGGCAGCAGTGCGAGGTCGTCAGCTGGCCGGCGACAGACGTGTGCGTCGCCGCCCACCGGCAGCTGCAGGAGCCTAGGCAGCAGCAGGGTGGAGGCGGCAGCTTGCAGGTGCCGGAGAAGCAGGCGGGCAGCCCACAGCAGGCAACCATGCTTTCCATCCTGCCGAAGACGGCAGCTGTAGTGGACAACGCCGCGGCCCGCCAGCTGCTGCCGCACTGGCGACGCTGCCTCTCGCCACACCACCTTACAGCCGTGCTACTGCTGCTCCGGCAGCAGCGCACACGCAGCCAGGTTGCCCAGCTGGCGGCGGCGCGGCCGCGGGGGCAGCAGCGCCCAGAGGCGGGAGCGGCGAACAGTGCAGCAGAGGCAGCTCAGGCGGTTGCGCCGCTGGCTGCCGACTCTGCGGTCTTTGCCTGGCTACCAGCAGAGTATGAGGTGGTGCCTGCCATGCACCCAACCGTCCAGCAGCTCATTGCGGATGGCGGGGTGTGGCTGCTGGAGACAGCCACGCCACAGGGCACCTCCGATCGCAGCCTGCAAGAGCGGGCAGAGGACGGCGGCGGCGCAGCCGAGCGGCCAGGGCCGGCGGCGGTGCTGGTGTTGTGGGGTGCCGGCTTCCGGGGCGTGCGCCATGCGGGCGTCGTGGCGGGCAGTGCAGCAGCCCTGGACTCGGCGCTGCTGTGTGCAGCTGCTGCCGACCCGGCCTGCTGCAGGTGGGGTGCCGCCTGTGGCTGCCGCTCCTGCCTGTCATTGTTGTTGGCCACCGCGCAGGCACAACCGGCTTTGCGGTGGTGTGCCTGTGAATGGCTGCCACATGGCTTCCTCTCCGCAGGTTTTACGTCGACTGCTGCAGCCAGTTTGAGCATGAACGGCTGTGGAGCAGCACAGGCGGCCAGCGATACGACATCCTGCCTCATTACAAGCCGCTCTGAAAGACATCCTGGGCCCTGTCGTGTTACTGGCTGCCGCTGCTATTCTGTCCAGTACCGGTTGCAAGCCAACTGGCTGTTACAGCTCAAGCCTAAGCAGCCCGTGCAGCGGCAGCATAATGTGCTGCCTGCCTGCAATGTGAGTTGAGTTGTCTTGTGATTTGGATGGAAGGTGGTGGCATACATGTGTCAGAAAGGTATCTGTGGAGTGGATGTGAGCTTGGGATTGTACAAGCCTTGGGGCGAAGGATTTTGACAGGAAAAGCACAGGGCCAGGCAAATGCTCCCATGTTTCATTTGTTCCCAGGCGTCGGGGGGCTCTACTGGGCTGCCCTCATCCCTCCTCTGAATCCGACCCGCTGCCATAGGCCCCTACCAGCCCGCCCAGGGCGCCGCCGCTGTCACTGCCGCTGCCACCCGCCTCCCTGCCTGCCGCCTGTTGCTGCTGCTGCTGCTGCTGCTGGCCCTCTCTTGACTCGGTCCGCTGCTTCTTGGCTGCCGGCTCTTGCGTGGCCCCCTCAGTTCCAGAGCCAGTGGTCAACTTGGCTTGCCCGCCAGCCCCCGCTGCTGCCGGCTTCACTCGCACTATGGGAATCAGCTTCTTCCTCCTGCAAAGCAATCGGGCACACACCATCAGTGCAGGTGATCAGCACATCGCGCGCGCACCAGCACAGGTGCGGGTAGACACGCGGCAGGCAGCAACTCACTTTTCAGCCTCTTGCTGCCGCTGCTTGGCTGCCGCCACGGCTCGTGCTGCTGCCGCCACTGCCCGCGCCTCCTCCTCTTCCTCCAGCTTGGCGCGCTGCTCCAAAAACTGCAGCGTTAGCGGGGCCCAGGGCCAGGCAAGTCAGCAGAGGGGAGGCAGCAGCTCTGGCTGCCACCCAGCCTTCTTGTTGCCGTTGCCACCAGGAGTTCAGCACACGACCAACACGAGTGGCACGCTGTGTTGCGCCACGGCAGAACCGGGGCGGCTGGCCCGACGCAATCAGCGTGCTGCTCACCGCCTGCTTCTCGGTGTACTCCTGCTCCTCCTCCACGTGCTTCTGCTCCCGCTCCACCTTGCGCAGGTAGAGGAGGTCCCCCTTATCAAAGGCGCCCGCCGCAAACAGCCAGCCGCGCACGCCCGGCGCCGAGTCCTGCAGGTCCTGCACGAGCTTCTCGTACAGCGGGTCGTTTCGTGTGGCCTCGTCCGCAGGCATCATGTCCTCCACCTTGAACCGCCCGGCATCGGGCTTGCGCTCCTGCGCCAGCACAGCGAGGCGAGCAGCACGGTGGAGCTGCCGGCCCCAGAGCTGCCTGCCCCAATCTGAGATGCGCTCTTGTTAGGGCATCTGCGCCGCACCCACAATGTTTGGTGGCCCCGAACCAATGTGCAAGGGCATGCAATAACAAGCCGTGGGGAAGCGCGGCGGCGGCGGCCGCGGGCGGGCGGGCTGCAAGGGTGCGGCGGCATAGCTGAGTCCAGCAGAGCTGCATGCTCTACGCCCACCCGCCTAAAAATCAGGCAATTGGGGCGGGATGCGCAGGCTTCCAAGACCCAATTCTCACCGCCATCTTCCTTTGCCACCGATCGAGCTGGAACTTGCAACACGGCGGCGCTGCGACAGTGCTGGAATAGTGACGAAGGCTCGAATGCGGTTGTACAGCTGATCCAGGAGAGCTGGCTTGCCTGCTGGCATTTGCAGACCCTTGCGCCCCCCTCTCGCACGTTGCTTGGCACCCTCAGCTGCATGCGATTGTCTCCTGACGCGCTGCAGCGCGCAGGTGTTCGTTCCTCAAACCACCATCGCTGAACAGCCCCCCAGCTGCTGTCCCGCGGCAACCCCTGTGCAGCTTCGTGTTATTGCTGATCGTGTACGTGCGTGTACGCAACACACACACACAGCCGACGGAGAGTCGGGCCCGCGGCCTCTCTCGGAGAGGGCACAAGTTGATGTGAGCTGTGCCCGCTCGCTCCACCTGCTCCCTCCCTGGCCACGCTCGTGCTGAGCCGATGGAACCCCGCCGTGCCCCTGCAGGCAGCGCTTGGGTGCTCCGGCGCATGCCCTGGATGCTGGAACAGCCGGCGCACCGCTGCGCACCGCCCAGGGGTGCTGGGCCCTGGTGAGGGACGCGTGTGGCAGCCCTGGTGACGGTGCCTCCCTGGACAGCGGAGCAGGGCTGGCTCCAACGGCCGCGGCGCCGTTGGCGCCGCCCCTCGTCACCCTCACCGACTCTGCCTCTGCTGGCTCTGGCAGCCCCGGGGGCACTCCCACCTCGCCACAGCACCGCCAGCAGCAGCCGCGGCAGCCGCACCAGGGGCCTGTGCTGCCGCCGCAGAAGCGGAAGCTGACGGGCAGCGGCGGTGCTGTGCCCGCCCAGCCTCCCGCAGCAGCGAGGCGCAGCAAGCGCAAGGCGCCGGGCGAGGCGCTGTGGCGCCCGCCGCGCACCCACGCACCACCCCAGCCTGCCACGTCTGTCGGGGACAGCCCGCACGGCCACGGCACGGCACACGCGCAGCAGCAGCACCACCACACATTCGCCGGCCTGCTCACGGGGCCTGCAGCTGCCGCTGCGGGCCCTGCCACGCTGCCGCTGGATCTCCCCGGCCTGGGAGACTTGGACGACGGTGAGTGCAGCGGCGGCGGCGCCACTGCCGCGTGGGCTCGCAGCAGCGGGAGCCTGCACCGCTCCACCTGGCTGCCACCAGCTCTCCATCCTGCTGCTGTGCGCGCCCCTCCTGCGTCCGCCTATCAAGCTTCTGAGCCCCGCCTGCCCCGCCCCCTCTGTGCTGCAGTGCCTGGCCTGGACGATCTGCTGCTGGGGATGACAGATGAGGACCCTCTGCTGGCAGGAGACCTGTTTGCTGGGACCATGCCAAGCCTGGCCTCGCCCTGGTCTGGCGGCGATGCGGACCCCTTTGCGCAGCCGCCGCCGGAGCAGCAGCAGGCCCGCCAGCAGGAGCTTGCTTTCCAGCAGCAGCCGCAACAGCTGGCCCTGCCGCCGGGGCAGCCTGCCCTGAACCCGTTTGCCGGCCAGGAGCGGGTGCGCGGCGCTGCGATGGCGGCAGCTGCCGCCCCTGCGGCGGTGATGGTGCCGCAGCCGGGGCCCCACCTCGCTGTGGAGGCAGCGCGTGCGCTGCGCAGGGTTGGTTCTGCCAACACGGTGCGCAGCCACACCAGCCTGGACCGGCTGCCCGCAGCCGCGGGCGCGCGCAAGGCGGCCGGCGGCAGGAAGAGCGGCGGCGGCGCCTCCAGCGGCAGGAGCGTCAGGAGGGAGGCTCCGCCGGCGGCCGGCGCTCGGCAGCGTGTCGCCCCCGCCGCAGGGCCCGCCGCGGCGCTGCAGCGCCAGCATGCGCAGCAGCAGACGCGCCGCGGGCTGGCCTCGCCATCGGCGCTGGTGGCCTCGACGCCCTCCGCCTCCCTGGGCGAGCATCGCGCTGCGGTGGGCCCCGTGCCCCGCGCTCAGCCCGCCGCCGCAAGGCTGCCTCTTGTGATTCAGCAGCAGCAGGAGCGGCACCTGCAGCAGCAGCGCGTGGTGCCCATGCCGCGGCCGGTGCCGCCGGCCGCGCAGTGGCTGTCACGGGACCCCTCCCAGGCCCGCCCCGTGCACAGAGGTGAGCCGCAGCCTCCCTGGAGTCCTTGAAAGAGAGAGGGGCGCACCTGCGGCTGCCCAGGCTGCCTGCGCCATGTGTTGGTGGGCCGGCATGCTGCCACCCTGCCCCGTTTGCTGTCCCGGTGTGTTTGCGTCGTGTGATCTGCCGCCACCGCCGCCAACCTCGTGCCTCCCCTGATGCAGCAGCCGCGCCTCCCAAGCCCACCCCCACGCCCCTCGACCCAGCCCAGCTGCGCCTGTCGGCGGCGGCCACCCTGGTGGCCGCCGCAGCGCCGCTGGCGCCGCCCACGCCCGGCGCCGCCCATGCCGGCTCCGCTGACCTGCGACTGCTGCAGTGCGTGTTCGGGGAGCACTTCCCGCAGCGCTGGCGGTGGTAGGCTTGGTGGCGGGAGCCCGCTCTAGCTCGCTGCTGCTCTCAGCGCCTCCTCCCTGCATGTCACCCCGCTACTACCGCCCTCCCTTTCACAAACGTCTCTGGCTAGCCCCGAGCCGGCAGCCACCCTCCCGCCCAACGCCTGGCTATACTAATCCATAACGAATCAATAACGCGCCCAAAGTGTGCACTATTGACACTGCTTCACCCTACCATGTTCCCGCTCACCAACCCCGCATGCACCGTTCATGGCCGCCCGACGCTCCCGCCGCCCCTCATTGAAACGTAGCTCGAGTTTTTTCACACCTGCCCAAGGGTCACCTTTGCCCCCTAGCCTGTCCCCTGCTCCCCTCATTGACTGCTGAGCCTGGCCTTACCTTTGACAAGGGGGGTCGCGCCCCCTTCCTCTCCCTTTGCTGCCGCCACGCCACACCGAATGAACTCACCGCGCTGATTTGGCTGCCCCATCCCTGGCAGCCCCGCCATGCCTGGGCCGTTGCGTGCCAATGAGCAGCATGCGCCCTCACTCCTTTCCCCGCACCGCACCTCCTCCTTTTGATGCTGACGGGTGATAGCATATCACCACCTACCCACTCCCACACTGGAGCCTCCTGTACTGTGCCACTTTTGTATCTGCTGCTGCCGAGCTCGATTTTGCGAACACCCTTGCAGCACGCGCCCCCCTCTCTCCTTGCATCTGCTTCAGCACTCCAGCCCCTTCTCACTCTCTTCCCACGCTCCTCTCCCTCCCTGGCTTGACAATCGGCGCGCGGGACCGAAGACCGCAGCTGATGCCACCGACGCTCCCCCCCAACACACCCTGTGCTTTCTGTCGTCAGTTCCACATTCATCCTCTGTTCCTCCCCTCTCTCCCCTTTCCCTATATGCACGCTGCAAGGCCTGGGACGAGCAAGGCCCACACGCATGCGTGCTTTTCATAAAGAACCCCAAACCGTACGTCGTTGGAAAGCAATATCGAACCACAGGTGCTTCATTCTTTCTCCAATTCAGCTGAATTTGTTGCTTGTAACCAGGACCGTACTGGCAGCAGGGTGCGTGTTGCTGCACAATTGCAGTGCTGCAGCGGAAGCACCGCGGCGCTCAGCTGGGGAGGGCCGCCTCGGCAGGCGCTGGGCCTGCTGCTGCCGCCGCCGCCGCCGCCGCCTTTTGGAAGGCTTGGTCAAGGTCTGCCAGCAAATCCTCCACATCCTCAATGCCCACTGCACACGCACCGCAAGGGAGGGGCCACAGGTTTGCGTGTGTGTTGGTGGGGGTTGAGGGTAGGGCTCGGGGGCAGGGAGCAGCGGCCAGGCACGCGCGCCATTCAGCACTCTGAACCTGAAGGCCCAGGCAAAACCCGGCCCGCAGGCTACCCCGCCTGCCTCCAGCCAGCCCTTGACCACCGCCTTTGCCACCATCCCCACAAACGGAGACGCACACGCCACATGGCACGATGTACACCACCGCCACCTCCTCGCCACACAGGCATCCAAAACAGGCAGCCCACCTGAGATGCGGACAAGGTCGTCTGGGAGGCCGCGCTGGGCGCGCACCTCGGCAGGAATGGAGGCGTGGCTCATGAAGCAGGGCATGCTGCAGCAGCGGGGGTGCTCGAGCGCGTGGTTGTGCGTGGGTTGGTGGTGGTGGGTGTTTTGCTTGTGAGTGTGTACACAGCATGGATGTGGATGCGGAGCGGTGCACTGGGGCTCACAAGCGCTGATGGGGACGCACTGTGCGGCCGCCAGCCAGCCCAGCCCACCGGCACACACCTGATGAGGGAGCGGACGTTGCCAAAGCTGACCGTGATCTTGAAGAGCTCGGTCTCCTCGCACACGGCGCGCGACAGCCGCGCGTCTTGCGTGATGAAAGAGATGATGCTGCCCGCGGAGGCGGCCTGCACAGTGGGGCGGCGCGGGCACAGTCGGCAGGAGCGGTGGGCGGCAGGCGCGGGCTGCGGGCCCAGGCGCGGCCCTCGGTTGCCGATTGAGCACCGCAGCATGGCGCAGAACAAAGCAGCGCAGCGCAGCACAGCACAACACGGTGCAGCATGGCCACGAGCCTCAGTGCAGCACATCCCCTGACACACACACACACACACACACACACACCTGCCGGTCGTGCACCTCCTTGCCCGGGTGGTCTGCCAGGCCTGGGTAGTTGACACGGTGCACCGCGGGGTGCGCCGCCAGCCACTCGGCGATGCGCTGTGCGTTGGCCACCTGCGCACCCAGCCCGCCCGACAGCAAGCATGCTGGTCAGGCAACAGCCGGGAACAGGACGAGCTGGTGGTGCACGCCACAGCAGCCTAGGGTGCGGCAGGGTCCAACATCCCCGACACAAATCAGCCCAGCGCTGCCCAGCAGAACACGACAAGCAGGTGCCCAAACAACGCGCCCCGGAGCACGGCGCCTGCTGGCGCGGCGCCCGGCCATCACGCTGTGCTGTGCTGTGCTGTGCTGTGCTGTGCTGTGCTGACCTGGCGCTCCATACGCAGCGCCATGGTCTTGATGCCCCGCACCAGCAGCCAGCAGTCAAAGGGCCCCAGCGCGGTGCCCTCTGCATTTTGGACAAAGTAGATGCGGTCGGCCAGCTCCTTGTCACGCACAGCCAGGATGCCGGCGGTGACGTCGGAGTGGCCGCCGATGAACTTGGTGGCTGCAGGAGCATTGGGGAGGCGGGAGAGGGGAGGCGGATGTGGGGAGGCAGGAGAGGGGAGGCGGGAGTGGCGGACGAGGGTGATGAGTGTGATTTGAGCGGTGGGTAGAATGCCGACCAGGAGAGGCAGGTGAGGCAGCGCGCCACCAGGCCAGCCACGCCAGCTGCCACCCTCTGCCTGGCCGCACCCACCTGAGGTCATGGCGATGTCTGCCCCCAGGTCCAGCGGCCGCTGGTAGAGGCAGGTGAGGATGGAGTTGTCCACACAAACCAGGGCGCCCGCGGCGTGCGCCAGCTGCAGGGGCCGGAGGGCCAGCCGGAAGACAGGCAGGCAGGCGGGGGGTCAAAGCAGGCTGGCTGGAGCGGAGGCGAGAGCTGTGATACGCTGCCCCGGAGCCGCCCGCTCCAAAGCCAGCCCCAGAGTGCACTTGCAGTACCATGACAGTACTGTACAGTACCGCCCCGTACCTCGCAGATGGCGGGTATGTCGCAGATCTGCATGCGCGGGTTGGTGGGCGACTCAAGCATCACCAGCCGCGTCTGGCCGGGGATGATGGCCGCGCGCACAGCCCTGCGGGTTGGGCAGGGGGTGGAGAGGGGTGGAGGGGGAGGGGAGTCCTATGCTGGTAAGGCTGGGCGGGCTCAGCGCAGGGCTGGGCACCATGCCACGTGCCAGCCTGCTTCGGCCCCTCGCCGTCAACCCCACTCGTACACCCCAAACACACAAGCATAAGCCCACCCAAGAAACCACCACACCACTACACCCACCCTTGCCTCCCGGCCCCACTCACTCCAGGTCTGATGTGTCGACGTTGCTGACCAGGACGCCCGCGCTGGGCACGACCCGCGACAGCAGCCGGCTGGTGCCCCCGTACAGGTCGTCCCCGGCCACCACGTGGTCCCCCGCAGACAGCAGCCGCGTCACCGCCGCCAGCGCCGCCATGCCGCTGCTGAAGGCAAACGCCCGCTCCGCGCCCTGCGGGTAACAACGGGAGGCATTTTGTGTGTGTGTTCAAGGCATGGCACGCGGACGGTGGGCGTGCCGTGCAACAAAAGCGTGCATGCAGGCCGGCGCTGTCGCCGCACGCCTATCAACGGTCCCCACGCCTGCCAAGGCCAGCACCGGTGCCAGCGCTGCCCACCGCTGTGGCTCCTCTGAGTTTCCCAAGCCCCCAACACACACACACAAACACACACGCACACACACCCACCCACACACACATCGGATGCCACCGCCTCACCTCCAGCAGCGCCATCTGCCGCTCCAGCACGGTGCGGGTGGGGTTGCCGGAGCGGCTGTAGTCGTACTCGCCCATCTCCACCGCGCCCGGCTGCTGGAAGGTGGCGGTCTGGTAGATGGGCGGCATGCTGCCCGCATACTGGTCGGCCACCAGCCCCTCCGACTGCACCAGCAGCGTGCGAGTGCTCAGCGGCCGCCGCGCGGGGGCGCCGACCGCGGCGGCGCCGTTGCCGTTGACGCCAGAGGCGGCGGCGCGCATGGTGCGGCGGGCGGCGCGGCAGTGGCGGATGAGGGCACCGGCACTGGGGGTGGGGCTGGTTGTGCAGGCACTGGTTCCGAGCGCCGCGCAGATCATGCTGGCGCGGGTGCGCGGGCTCGCAGAAGGTTGCAAAGAGGCGGAAACGGGCTTTGCAAAGACTGGAATCTCGGAGGGACGACAGCAGGAGAGGCTTCGAAATTGGCGAAGCTTCAATACACAAAATTGAGGATTTCTCCGCGGCCAGGGGCGCGCTGGAGCCGCCAGCAAGCGCCAGCTGGAGCCATGGAGCCCGCAGGGCAGAATCCCAAATTATGATGATCGTAAGTGCTGTATGAGTCGTGTGCTGGCTGTGGCTGGCCGGGAGCTTATTATTAGAGAGGACCACCGCCTGGACAGCGAGGCAGGGTGCGTTGTGTGGGACGCCGGGCTCTGCCTCGTATACTACCTGGATCACGCAGGTGCGTGGGGGAATGCTGGATCGGGCCGCCACCGATCCAGCCCGTTCGATCAACTTTGGCAGCACCCCTTGATCGTGCGCTGCAGCGTCCCTCGTGGCTGGCAAGCGCGTGATTGAGCTGGGCTGCGGGCCGGGAGCGGTGGGGTGCACTGCAGCGGCTCTTGGGGCGGAGAGCGTCGTCCTGACCGACCTGCCGCATCTGCTGCCGCTCGTGCGCTCCAACATCGAGGTAGGTGCGGGGCCTGCCCCCCTGTGGAATGCTGCCGCCAGCTTACCAACTGGGTGACAGCCTGGGCCAGCCGGGTGGGCCGCCTGCACTCATTTGTCGCCACCTCGCCTCCCCACGGTCGTGTGCAGGCCAACCCCCTGGGCGGGGTTGCCACCGCTGCGGCGCTTGCCTGGGGCGATCCCGTGGGCCACCTGCAGCCGCCCTTTGACCTGGTCCTCGCCTCGGACGTCCTCTACCAAGCCGAGGCGCTGCCGCTGTTTGTGCAGACCCTGGCCGCGCTTTCCTCTCCCCGCACGCTGACCGTGCTGTGCAACGAGCACCGCCCCGCGCTGCCCTTCCCCTGGCAGCTCTTCCGTGCGGCTGGCTTTGAGGTGCGGCAGGTGCCGCTGAGCGAGCAGCACCCAGAGTGGAGCAGCGAAGACATCCATCTGTTCCACATCCGGCTGGCCTGCAACACAAGTGACGGCGGCGACAGCTGACGTCAGCCGGATTCCAGCTCAGCCCCAGGTGCAGGCATGGCCCCATCCCAGCCAGGCTCGGCCACGGCGGCAGCCGCGGCGGCAGCAGCGCGGACGCCGCAGCTAGCTAGTGGCGGCGGCGCCGGTGGCGGTCACTATCGGGACCCTGAAGGCAGTAGCGGAGACCAATATGCCGAGCCAAACGGTGGCAGCAACCACGCTGGTGCGGCTGCAGACGGCGCCGGCCATGGCTATGCTGGCGCAGCAGCGGGGGGGTATGGCGAATGGGCCGGGCAGGGCCTGGAGGCGGTGCCGGCGACAGACGATGCGTCAGCAACCGCCGCGTCAGCCGCTCAGGATGGCGCAGAGGCCTACAACCCTGCAGACTATCTGCAGCAGCTGGAGGCGCACCTGGCGGGCCTGCAGCAGCAGCGCAGCGGCCTGCAGCAGCAGCTGGCGCAGGCGGCGGCAGATGCCTACCAGGCGATGTCGCAGCGGCTGGGCACCGCCAGCACCGGCGTGCCGCTGCCGGCAGAGCCGGCGGCGCTGGTGGACGAGCTGGCGGTACTGCAGTCGGTACGGCAGTACCTGCAGTATGTTCAGGTGTGCATCTGCATTGCACCTGCCTTGTAGGATGCTGACTGCCGTGGCCTGCAGGCCAGCTTGTGTGCTGCAACCTCCTTGTATGGGTGGCCTCCAGGCGCACCGCCCTGCCGCCATTCGCTGCTGCCAGGCTGCATTGGTCTCCTGCCAACCCGGAACCCGCCTGGCCGCCTGCAGGAGCTGCAAGCCCTGATTCGGCACGTGGAGAAGACGGCGCGCACGCTGCAGCAGCAGGTGCAGCAGGATGGGGGCGCGGCGGCGCCTGGCAGCGCCTCGGGCACGGCATTCCTGCAGGCCCTGTCTGAGGCTGTGGACAGCTTCAGCACAGCAATGGGGTATGCCATCGCAGTGAAGCAGCTGGCAGGTGGGTGGAGGAACGATGCGCTTGACATCTTGGCTGGAAAAGTGAAGGGGGCGCGTCTGCCTGCCACACCACCCCGCACCACGATTGCTCCTGCGCTCATCCTTCCTGCTGCCGGCTGGAGTCTGTTGCTGAGTGCACTCTGCTTGTGCTGCTGCAGACCAAGGCAAGGTGCCCACTGAGCGCCTGCAGCAGTATGCGTCGGGCCTGCTGGGGCGGGTGGATGCGGTGCAGCAGAGCCTGCGCAGCCTGCTCAGCGAAGGCATCCAGCAGCGGCTGGCAGCTGCCCACTGGCCGCCGCCGCTCAGCGTCAGCGCGGAGGGCGCGGCAGCGGCACCGGCGGCAGACGATGGGCGTGCGTGGCGTGGGTTTGCTGCGGGGGCAGGTGGACAGGCGGCTGTGGCCGAGCTGCAGCAGCTGCTCGTAATGCTGCTGACGCTGCAGCGGGCGAGCCAGCATGAGCAGTTTAGGTGCGGCTTGGTGCCAGCAGGACCGCTGCTGCTGTGTGTATGGTGCAGCGATTGCCTCAGCTGGCATGATTGGAGGATGGGAGGGCTGTCTGCCTCTCTGCCGCTATCCTTGATACGCAGCTTTGGCGCACCCCTCTGTTCCCCGCCCCGTTGCCTGCAGTCTGCTGACTGAAGCCGGCCAGGAGGGCCCGCTGCTGTGGCCAGCCGAGGAGCTGGCCGCGCCGTTGGCCCAGCGGCTGCGCCACCACTTTGCAAGTGAGGCACTTTGCAAGTGACGCACGCATGGGCGCCTCTTGCTTGATGCCATGCATTGCCGCTGCCCCCCCTGTTGGAGGGCACACACAAACACATTACACACACACGCGCGCGCATGCAACCTGAAACTGCTGGTTGCCTGCCCGCGTGCCTGCCTGCTGCTTTCAGGCGGGCTGCCCACCGACCGCCCCGACCGTCCCGAGTGGCTGTTTGCCACCGCGCTCAAGGCGGCCCAGCAGTGCTCCCCGCTGGCGCAAGAGCTCCAGCCCTGCGTCGGTGGGCGTCCGGCCGCAGGCAGCTCCTGTCCCCTCCCCACGCGGTGCCTCTTGTTGATTGCTGCTCAGCGCAGCCCAGCGTTGCTGGCCCATCTAGCCTGCTGCTGCCCCATGTTCCCGGCGCTCCATGTTCCCGCCTGCGGGCGCCTGTGCCCCCTGTGCTGCAGAGGCGCACGGCCTGCAGGCCTGGTACAGCCTGCCGCTGGAGGTGGCTCGGGCGGTGGAGGTGGTGGGCGTGAATGCTGTGCTGGGCGAACACTTGCTGCCGCAGGTGCGCCGCGCGAGGCTGGGCTGGTTTGGTCTGTGCTTGTGTGTGGAGTGGGTGGGTGGGAGAGACAGAGAGCGTGTAGAGAGCGTGTATTTGTTGAGTGTGGATGACGTTTCTTCCTGCAAAAGCATTCCAGCCTGCGTCACAGCCCTAAACCCCAAACCGCTCCGCCCCTGCCCCGCAGCTTGTCGAGGCTGGCGACCCGGCGCTCTGGCTGCACCTGGCTGACGAGGCGATGCAGTTTGAGCGCAGGTGAGGCGGTGCGCCGACATGGACCCTCTTGACTGCCCCACACTGCTGCACCCCGACTTGCTGGCCTGCCGACCGCCTGATCAGCTGTCATGGGATGGTGTGCCGCCCCGCCACACACAGGCATGCAAGCACACACACGCAATGCAGCCCCAAATCTGCACCGCACCGCCGCACGCACCCCGCGCAGGTTTGCGCCGGTGCGCGGCGCCAGCCTAGCGCTGCCTGTCGACGAGGAGTTCCTGTCTGCCGCCCACCCTGGCTCCACCATCGAGCTGCTGTTCCAGCGCGGCGAGTGGCGGGAGGGGTGGCTGGGCGCGGAGCTGTGGGATGCCTCCCGCCAGCTGGACGCCGCCTGCGACGCCTACTCCGCCTGGCAGCCCGCCGCGCAGCAGCTGCTGGCGGTGACGGGGCAGGAGGAGGACTTGGTGCCTGACACGCCCAGGAGCAGGTGGGCGCGCGGCTTCGGGATGCCTGCGTGTGTGTGTGCTGGAGGTGGCAGTGGTATGGCGGGCAGGGTGTTTGCAGAAAGCGCCAGCGTCGCCTGGCAGGCCGCCAGGATGCTATCGGGCGGCATGGCGGGTGGTGGTGCTGAGCAGCTGCCGCCCATGCATCTGCCTGCGCAGGGGCGGCGCCGCCGCCTCGCGCCGCGAGTTCTGGCCGCCTGTGTGCGCGGAGCAGGTGGCGTCGCTGGTGGGAGGCCTGGTGCGGCGCGGCGGCTGGGTGCACGGCCTGGACCACAAGCTGCGCTTCATGCAGGCGGTGCCGCTTGCGGTACTACGCGCCTTCCGCGACCGCCTCTCCGGCCTGCTGCAGCAGGCGGAGCAGTTCAGGCGGGGGCTGGGCTGGCTGGGCTGGCTGGGCTGGGGGCTCGTGGGGACCGCTTAGGCTTTGCCTGCCCTGCACGGCTCCTCCGAGGAGACCTGCAGCTGCACGGGCCACCTGCACAGCTTGCTCTCTCTTTGTAGGGCCGGACTCCACGCTTGTGAGCTGTGAGCCTGGCTCGCCCGCTGCCTGCCGCTGCAGGGGCATGCTGGGGGACACCTGGCTGCCGCGCGTGGGCGCCGCCGTCAATGCCGCGCACTACATCGAGCACCACCTGCGGGAGCCGCAGGGCGTGCTGCTGCTGGCGGAGCTGCAAGACTCTGCTGCTGCTGCTGCTGCTGCTGCGGGCGCCACGGGCGCGGAGGACCCTGCCGGCGACGGCGGCAAGGCAGAGGGCGGGGCTGGCGGCGGCGCACGCAGCCTGACCACGCTGGTGGAGCGCGAGGCGGCAGCGTTTGCCACCCTGCGCAAGCAGTGGGCGTACAAGCTGGCCAAGCAGGCGGTGGACAGCTGGAACAAGCTGCTGGTGCCATACAAGTGAGTGGGCTTCGACTTTGAGTCGCTGACCTGGCACGTGTGGTGCTCGAAGGCTGCAGCAGCGGCGTACTGCCACACGGACAGCTGCTGAGCTGCCGCTCCTGCTTTGCACCCTGCAGGAAGGATGCTGCCGCCTTCACCGCCGGCTTCGAGGAGGGCGTGCCTCCCGAGCAGGCGGCTGCCGCCGTGGCTGCCGTGGGCCCCGCGGCACCCTCCCCCGCCATGCTGGTGGCCGCAGACAGCCTGCAGCAGCTGCTTCGGGCGCTGGCCGAGCAGCTAGATGCCGTGGTGTTCAGGTGGGTGCGGCGGGGGCAGCAGAAAGGGAGACAACAACCCCAGCTACCCCTGCTTTTGTGCGCGCTGCACCCTGGATTGACTGCCGCACTTTGGCAACCAGGGCGGCTGCGTGCCTGTGTCTCGCCGTGTGTGCAGGGATGTGTGGCGGAGCGTGGCGCTTGCGGTCAACTATGGGCTGTACAATGAGGTGGCCACAGAGGCGCTCTTCTCGGCGCAGGCGAGTGCAGCCTGTGCTGGGCTGGGCGTGGCGCGCCGCTGCCGACGCCGGCTCGAGGTCCTGCTGTGATTTTCTTCGGCAGGGGCGCTGGCCGTGGCCAGCTGGCCTCGCCTCTGAAGCGACGTGCTTGCCTGCTTGCCCACTGCCCATCCCCTGGCCCTGCAGGGCGCCGCCCAGCTGGACGCTGACCTGGCGGCTATGGCCGCCATCTTTGGTGCCTACACCGGCCGCCCCGCCGCGCACTTCAAGGAGAGCAAGGAGGCGGTGCGGCTGCTGACGATGCCGCACGGCGCCGCGGTGCAGCTGCTGTCGGCGCTGGAGGCGCAACCGCGTGGCGCCAAGCAGCTGCTGGCGCCGCACGGCGTCAAGCAGCTGAACGCGGAGCAGGCAGCGGTGGTGCTGCTGCAGCGCCTGGATGTGCTGACCAGCCGCACGGGCGGGAGTGCCGTGGCGGCAGCCGGCGGCGGCGCAGGCGGCGGTGTGTAGCGAGCCGGCCTGTGGTGCGCAGTTGTGCTTTTGTTGGGGACTGGTGACCTGTGATAATGACTGAGTGTGTTGAAATCAGAACACAAAGTTGGCGACTGGCTAGGATGCAAGCGGGACGGACAGCTGGGTCCAGCTGGGGCCCCACATTATCCTTGTTGTTTGCGTCACTTCGCACTGCATCTTCCAGAGGGCAGTGTTCGTTCGCCGTAGCGTTGTTACCTGTTCATGAAGTCTGGAGGAGGGAACGACCGGCTGGAGGCTGGCCGACGCAAGGTGCGGCCCAGCTGGGAGCGATGTGCACTGCTGTGTGAGCAACGCCTCGCTGACGGGGGTTCGCGGCTGGCCTGCCCCGCCGCAAATGAAAACCGGCCACCGCGTGTGTGTTGTTGCGCCACCTGACAGCCCTCAGGGCGCTTCATCTGCATGATAGACAGCCTATCGAGCGGCAGGCGCCGCAGCATCGCCTCCTGTGGGGCAGGTGGTGCCGCCACCCGCCGCTCCCGCCCCTCGCCCCTCTTGTGACCGCCAGCCTCGCTGCTTGCGCTTTGTGCAGCTGGAGGAGTTCCAGCGGCGGAAGCAGCAAGCACTAGCTGCCAAGAAAGGGCCAGCCTCGGCCGCCGCATCACCGGAGAAGCCGGCAGGCCAGCTGCCCGCTGCCGCGACCACACACCATGGCAGCTCCTTGGGAGACCTTCCACCCGGCCCGCCGCTGCGGCAGGAGGCCAGCCACGCCGCACGCACGGCGCCAGCTGCGCTGGCAGGAGCGCCTGGCGTTACTGCAGCACCCGCAGCCGCTCCAGCGGCGGCTTCAGCCTCAGCAGCAGAGGCCGAGTCTCTGCATCAGCAGGTCGGCGAGCTGCTGGGCTCTGTGGATCAGCTGCACCGGGCGCTGCAGGATGAACGGGCCAACAGCACTCAGCTGGAGCAGCAGGTGCAGGAGCAGCAGGGGCGGCTGCGGGAGCTGCACGACGCCAACCAGCAGCTGCAGGAGGCCGCCACCGCCGCGGCCCCACACGCGTCTGCGTCTGCTGAGCACCAGCAGCAGCTTCAGCTGGAGCTGGCTGAGGCTCGGGCGCAGGCGCAGCGCTATGCCCAGGCCGCAGAGAACTTATCCGCAGAGCTGGGCACGGCGCGGCAGGAGCAGGAGGCTGCGGCGGCCGAGCTGGCGGCGGCGCAGGCCTCGCACCGTGCCGAGCTGGCCGCCGCGCACGGGGCGGCAGAGTCTGAGCTTGCCGGCGCGCGCGAGGCGCATGCTGCTGAGCTGGCGGCCGCCCAGGAGGGCAACTTCAGCCTGATTGCCAGCTACAAGCAGCAGCTGGATGAGGCGCAGGAGCGGGCGGAGGCGCAGGCGCGCCAGCTGGAGGCGCAGGCTCGCCAGCTGGGCGACGCCGTGGCGGGCAGCGGGCGCTCCGAGGAGCAGCTGGTGGCGCTCAGCACGCAGCTGGCGCAGCAGCAGCAGGAGGCGCTCGAGATGCAGGCGTGTGCTGGGGGGTGCTGCTCGTGTGTGTTTGTGTGGTGGCGGGCGTTAATGGCTGCTGTGTCCACCACCATGGTCCTCCTCCCTTGGTCCCCTCTCCACACACGCCCACCTCCGCCCCGCTGCCCTGCGCCTGCAGGCGGAGCTGGAGCGGCAGCGGGAACTGAATGCCCGCATGAAGCACGAGCTCGCGGAGCAGGCGGTGGCCGCCGAGGAGGCGGTGCAGGCGGAGGAGGCTGAGCACTCCCAGCTGGCGCTGGCGCAGTCGCGCCTGGCGGAGCTGGAGGAGCGCGCGGGGCTGGCGGAGCAGCTGGCGGAGCTGGCAGAGCAGCGCGCGGACGACACCGATCGCAAGCTGGCGGCGGCGGCGCAGGAGGCCGCGGCCAGGGAGGCCGAGCTGCAGGTGCTGGCGAGGGGGGTGGCTGGGGGTGCCGTGATGTCTGCTGGGGTAGCAGCAGTGCCCATGGGACCAGGCTGGAGTTGTGTGTGTTGGGACAGGGAGGGTCGTGTGTGCTACCAACCAATGCCAGCCCAGCTCGCCGTGCCTCCTCATCGCCCGCGCACCCCGCCTGCCTGCTTGGCACAGGATGAGGTGCAGCGGCTGGGCGAGGCGCTGGCTGTGGTGCAGGCGGAGCTGCGTGCCAAGGGGGAGGCAGAGCAGGTGGGTTGTGGTCGGCGCGGCGTCGACATGCTGCTGCACCGGGGAGGGGCTATGGTGCCCTGTGTGTAGCCCAGGAGAGGGCGCCTGTTCCTGTAGGGGGGATCCCTCACAGCTGCTTTGGACACAGGGAGGACCGATCTTGATCCTGCTTGCTGCCCTGGTGCAGGGCGTGCTGGCTGAGCTTGCTGAGCTGGCAGCGCTGCGCGAGGCATACGCGGCGGCGCAGTCGCAGCTGGAGTCTGCCGCTGGCGGGCAGGCCGCCACCGCGGCGCTGCTGGAGGAGCAGCAGGGCCTGCTGGTGCAGCTGCAGCAGCAGCTGGCGGCTGCTCAGGCCGCCAAGGCCGAGCTGGCCCGCGAGGCGGCTGCGCTTCGGGAGCAGCAGGAGCAGGAGGGCGGCACCGCCGCGGAGCTGCAGCAGCAGCTGGTGGCTGCACTGGAGCAGGCGCAAGCAGGGCAGCAGCGCTGCGAGCAGCTGGAGGGTGAGCTCGGTGCCTTGGCTGGGGCCGAGGCGACGGTGCGTCAGCAGCTGGAGAAGGCACAGGAGCAGGCGGCGGGCGCCGGGGCCGCCGCTGCCGCCGCGAACGAGCAGCTGGCGGCGACTGTGGGGGAGCTTGAGGCCCTGCAGGCCGAGCTGGAGAGCAGCCGCGAGGAGGCGGCTGCGCTGCAGGAGCAGGTGGAGGCTGCAGCCCAAGAGGGCGGTGCTGCAGCTGCGCTCGCTGAGCAAGTGGAGGCGCTGCAAGCGGAGCTGGCTGGCAGCCGCGAGGAAGCTGCCTTGCTGCGGCAGCAGGCGGAGGAGGCGGCTGCGCTTGGGCAGCAGCTGGAGCAGATGGCTGAGCAGAAGGATGCGACCATCTCTGCCGGCGAGGAGCAGCTGGCGGTGCTGCGGGCGCAGGTGGAGGGCCTGCAGGCTGAGCTGGCGAGCAGCCGCGAGGAAGCTGCCAGCCTGGCGCAGCAGGTGGGGGAGGCGGCGACGCAGGAGGGTGGTGTGGCAGCTGCGCTGCAGGAGCAGCTGGCAGGTGTGCAGCGAGAGCTGGAGGCGGCGCAGCAGCGGGGCGAGGAGCTGGAGAGTGAACTGACCGCCAGGGCCGACGGCGAGGCGGCGCTGCGCCAGCAGCTGGAGGCGGCCGAGGAGCAGCGGGCGGCGGGGCTGCACCGGGCTGAGGAGCTGCAGGAAGAGCTGGCCTCCCTGCAGCAGCAGTATGCGGAGCAGCACGCCGCGGCCGAGGCGGCGGCCGCGCAGCTGGAGCAGGCGGCGGCGGCGGCGGCCGAGGCGCAGCAGGCGCTGGCGGGGCGGGAGGCGGAAGTGGCGGCGCTGGCTGGGCAGCTGGAGGAGCTCCGTGCCGGCAGCCAGGGCGCCGCGGAGGCTGCAGCGCTGGCAGAGGCGCTGCGGGGCCAGGCGGCGGAGCTGGCCCAGCAGGCTGCCGACCTTGGGGAGCAGCTGGGGCAGCAGGCAGAGGCGCTGGCGGCTGCGGAGCGGGAGAAGGCGCACTACGCCTCGGAGCTGGAGACGCTGATTGAGCAGACAGAGGTCATGATTGGGGAGCGGGCGCAGGTGGGTGGGCAGGGATCGTATCATTGATACTATATCATATTTACTAGGGGGCTGTGGGGGCTGCGCCCAGTGAGAAACAGGGATGGAAAAATAAAGCCATGGAGGGCCAGCAGGGCAGGCGAAGCAGGACTTGTTGCCAGTGCCTGCCAGTGTATGTGGCGCTAAGCTTCACGTGCCTGCCGCTCTCCTCCTGGCTGGCCGCAGCTGGAGCAGCAGCAGCAGGAGGCGGCTGGGCAGCTGGAAGCTGCCGCAGCCCAGTGTGGCGAGCTGCAGGCGAGGATGCGCCAGCGACCTTGCCAGCTGATTTGCTCTGGGGGGCCTCGCTTCGGCTGCCAGTCTGGATGTGGCGTGGTCGCAGCTGCCCATTGCCCCAACCCCCCCGCTGCCAGAGCAGTCCGACCTGTTTGCCCAGCCCTTCTGGGTAGGCGCTGTGTGAGCCACTGAGCCGCTGCAGCTGTTGTTGGCGCTTCCGTCCCATGCAGGAGCGGGTGGCGATCCTGGAGGCTCAGGCGGCGGCTGGCGGCGACGCGGCGGCGGCGCAGCTGGCTGCGCTGCAGGCTGACATGGCAGAAGTGCTGACTCAACGGGAGCATGTGCTGCTGGAGCGGGATGCAGCCAAGCAGCAGGCTGCCGACCTGCAGCAGCAGCTGGCGGCGGCGCAGGCGGCGGCCGCCGCGGCCGGCGGCGGCGCTGCCGAGCTGCAGCAGCAGCTGCAGGAGGCGGCGGCGGCTGCGGAGGAGGCGGCGGGCCGAGCGATGCAGGCGGAGGAGTGGGGCCGGAAGCAGGCGGAGGCGGCGGCGGCTGCCGCGGCCCGCCTGGCTGAGCTGGAGGCTGCTGCTGCTGCCGTGGAGCAGCAGACGGCTCTCGCGGAGGCGCTTCAGGAGCAGAACGAGGCGTTGGCGGGCCGCGTGCGGGAGCTGGAAAGCGCGGCAGCAACGGCGGCGGCGGCGGCAGCGTCTTCCGCCGGCGGCGGCGGCGGCGGCCAGCAGGAGGCTGAGCTGGCGGATCTTCAGCGCGAGAATGCCGCGCTGCAGGCGGCGGTGGCAGAGTACAGCACCCAGGTGCAGCAGTGGTCGCAGCGTGTCCAGCAGCTGGAGGCGGCGGCGGCGGCGGGGCCGTCGTCGGCGGGGGACGCCATCACGCGCCTGTCTGCGCTGCAGCAGCAGGCCTCGGAGGCGGAGGTGCAGGCCACAGCCCTGCAGGCCGAGAACCGCGCGCTGAGGGCCCAGGTGTGCTTGCTGCGCTGTGCATGCTGCGCTGTGCATGCTACGCTTGCTGTGCTGTGCTTGCTGCGCTGTGCTGTGTGCGTTCCTGCCTCGGAGCGCCCAGCCACAGCAAGCTCGGCGCCCCTGTGCTGTCATCCGCCTGCCGGCCTCCTGCCCCCGCCACCACACGACCATGTCGCCCCCCTGCGTGCCCCGCCCGCTGCCCCCCGCAGCTGGAGGCGGAGCAGCAGCGCGCCAGCGAGGTGGAGACCTACTACCGGAACCGGCCTGGCAGCCAGGTGGGGCAGGCTGCCCGCGGTGCACGCTCCCCCGCACCATACACTCTGTCCTACACACACGCTCGCTCTTTCCTACACACACACACTCCTGTCTCACCTCGTGCACCACTCTCTCCCTCTGCTCCTCTTGCGGGCTGACCCCAATCGCGCCCCCCCCCCCCCCC